GGGAAGAAAATTCAAAATCATAACGATCACAAAATAAATACAATGGTTATTTTTCGCTAAAGGAGCCAATTTAAATTAGTTAGATGGAGATTAGGAAGCTCGAGGAATACGGTATGACATTTATTTTCAAAAGGAATACCCATTAGTACAAGCTTAACTGACGGCTTGCTGTATGCGGAAATACGAAGAAATTAATTGAATGAAGAAAAGAAACGAGGATAGCACTTGAAAGATATATTTGAGTACATGGACGCATTTTATAAAAGGAATTGAATCAACCAAAAAGTTTCGGAGTCGGTAATAGTAAATTATGATGAAAATTCAGTTGAGAGTGATGAAGAAAAATAATTCAGTATTAGCAATTCAAAACCTATCATTCAGTCAAACCTTGACCATTCCTAATCGGATTTGAAGAACCAGAAAATGTAATACCAATAATAGACATTTAATGAAAGGATTCAGGAAAATAAGTGAGAGTTCATACAGTAAACCATTCAGCCCAAAAACCAAAATTAATGACCATTTCCAAAACAAATTTTAGACTCTGGTGAGATTGGCAAGGAGAATTCGAGACGGAAATAATAAGTTTCCTTACAAAATACATTGTACTTACAGGATTTTTATACTACATCCATTTTAAACCGCCGGAAATGTATTATCAATTTTTCAAGAAAATAGTGGAAAACTTTCCGGAAATTTGGCCTATTGTAAATTCCTTTTGCGTTAGGAACAAACTTATGGAGTGTTCGCAGAAATGTAGAAGTTTCAGGCTATTACAGAGATATCACATGAAAGTAAAACTAATCGCATAGAGGCATAAATGAGACAGAGAGAGCCGAATTAGGCAAATTTATTGTGGCCGGGATGAGAATTCAGTTCAAACATATATAAATTCATGTGACATTTGTCAGAGAACCAAATACGAAAGGGTACCAATAAAACAGGGAATAAATATTACACCAACTCTACAAAGCCCTTTGAAAATAATACACTTAGATACTACAAAGAATTGGAAGGAAATATTATTTCTTACGATCGTGACAGTTTTTCCAAATTTGCTCAAATACAAATTGCCAAGTTTAAATTCATTGGAGCATAGTTTCAGAATTAATTCAATTCTTTTTCATGTTACGGGTACCGAAAAGGATCGCAACGTACCAGTACGGGTTTAAAAACACTAATTTTGAAAAATCTTTTTAGCCCTACACCGTTGAAATTCATTTCACCACTCCTGAAAATCCACAGAAATCAATGGGCCAGATTGAACGATTACATACTTTTCTCTTAGAACATATCAGTTACTAAAGAACAATTTCGAGATTCAATTGAAAACCAAACTTTGTACGCAATTCCTTTTATAACAATACCATTCATTCAGCAACCAAACGAACCTAATGACGCAGATTTTGGACACTTAAATTTGGAAGACCCGTTTGATATTGACTGTAACATTTCATTGAGCAATTACGTTCAAAAATCATAAAAGAACAAGGTTGAAAAACTACTATATCAGAAAATCAATGAAAAGCTGCGAAATCAGAGGCAAGTTGCTACAAAAATATATAGAAAACATTAATCAGCCAATATTACGTGAAAATGAGGGCATTCTATCAAAAGGTTGCAGAGAATACAAAATTTTTGAAATAAATTTTAGAAAAAGAACAAATCGATACAATACCGTCCGGAAAGAATCTAGTAAAACAACAAAGCATTAACACCATATTAGAAATATTAAAAAACCAGTCAAAATAATACAGGACGTTCTCCTACGGGTTCGCCCTCCCTTCTGGCACTGATCACTATAGCACCAGCGCAGATAGAAATTAAAATTTTGCAATCCAATCACCAGTTGTTACCAATTCATTTCAGCCCGGCAAAAACTACAAAAATATCATCATACGATTTATACATTATTACAATGTATGGGTGATAATCAATTATTTCAGGAAGAGCTAAATACTAGAGTCAATCAGATGTTGGAGACCTGCATTACTTGGGAATCCGCATTACGAATCCAAGCTTGGGTAAATTACGTAAAAAATCATTTACAAATATACAAAATACTACTATTTCCAGAAGAAACCGTAAAATAATTCAAACAAAAGAACTAAACGAGTCTGAAGAGTAGTACTTTGGGCTCAGTCACTTAAAACAATATCAGGCAACCTTGACAGTAATGGCGAAAAGGTACGGTAGTTAAAATCTAGAATCAAAGAATCAAAAAGTAGAAGGTAATAATAGTCAAATTCAGGATCAATACACACTATCAACAGAATTATGAATAAATTTAATAAGACAATTTGCAACGATAAGTAGAAACGAAGTTTCGCTGGAGTACTTGCAAAGAGCTGAAACGCATCTAAAGAATCAAAATTATGAAAAAATCGGAAATTCATGATAAGAATTACATTAAATCAGCTACATCTGATGTACCAAACAATTGAGCACATGCTGAGTAATTTGGTCACCGCCTAACTTTTCAAAATTAAGACTCATGCACCCAAGTATCATTTTCAACAAGTAAGGTTGTATACCTCATTTACCTGCAAAATTTAGAATCGAGAGAGCAATCTTAATCAGTTACATTTGGGGTTTCACACGAAAACGTAATCAATTATTCAAATTAATAACGTTAAAAATCATATAACGTAACTAGAGATAGTGTTCATTCTGATACCAATGTTCGAAACACATCATTCGACCTATATAAATTTACATACATCCCAATTTTGGCTACAAGACAATACCTTCCGAGTAATTCTTCCTAAACCAGATATTTATTACTTGCGAAATCTGGTAGCTCTCACGAATCTGAAGATTGTCAACTTCTAGACGGAACGTACTTTTGCAAACCAACGATTGGCACAGAACGTGCAAAAGGACGAATTATTGAGACAAACATAACAGGAAACAAAATCTATCAAATTGTATTGCAACACGAAATTGAAATCGTGGAACCTGGGGTGTTTTGGGAAATAGAGACGCTTACGGCATATTGGGTATTATTTGCACCATATGCCTGAACTAAAGAATAAAATTTGTCCGAAGAAGGGGAACTTTCAATCTGTCGGGGACATTCTTCTTCGACCTTCAGCCACCTGCCAGTTCGAGTTTAACAGAAGAAACAATCGGCGATCATTACGGAGGGCAATAGCCAGCCCTTGTTCATTTAAAATTTCAGCAGCCTCCTGATACTATCAACCAGGCGGACTGGGAAGCCGTAAATATTGAACCAATAAATGGCCAATGAAATTAATGATTTAAAGGGCAAGAGCAAAATGGTCCCAGATCATCCATTCGATCAAAAACCAGCTCACGTTATACCCAGTATACATATCATATTGCTCGGTATAATCATCACCATTGTCATCGGACACCCTAGCGCCCGACGATGAAAACCAGCAACGGGCAATCTACCACGAGACATCGAACTCCAAAGAAGTCCAACTTCCTCCGGATTCCCTCGAGTTGACTCTGTGAAGGGAGGAGTTATATGAACAGAACCCGATGACCGCAACAAGAATCATTTTTATTGATTAAAGACCTGTCCATGATATTTTATTTTCAAAGCGCAGTAATTGTGGCCTAAACGTAATTGTCAATTTCTAAATTCATTGTCTCAAAAGTCACCTAGTAAAACTTTCACTGTTTCGTTTGCGCATCTTCTGCTAATATTTATTTTAAAACATAGTGAGCCATATAAATGGGGGCGCAGACCTGGAACCCGCAAGCGGTATTGTATCATCCAAGTTCGTTGAATAAACAAGTGAAAGTTAACAGTTGTTGAATCGATCATCAAGAACCCACTTAACAAATCTAAGAAAACCAGCAAAAGTGGAATCAAAGTCTTAAACCCAATTCACAATCACGTCTTGTTCGAACCAATAAATAAAATAAGAATTATATTTAACAACTCGATAGGTCGATAGCAGAAATCGTTAATATAAAACCGCTCGACACAGGCGGGGAATATGTTTACATAGCGGGAATTTTTGAGTACACTAACATTGTTTTCGTTTTCTTCTTTACGGTATCAATTTTACACCAGAAACCTGTATTTTGTTGTTCACCCGGCGTACTTTTGCCGCGCGATGCGGTTTTCTGCGTGAATTTGTACAGATTCAATCATCCCGACGACCTAGTTAAGTTTCTATTCACCGGTCAGTACGTTTGCATTCCTCATTGTGGCTCTCCATGTATTTTGGGTATTTTTAATAAGTTAGTCGCGTAATATTTTTTAAACATTGAATTTCGTGCTTGAGACCGTATTTGTATAGTAATATGTGGCTCATAATTTTCCGGACCAAAATGATCATAAAGCGCGGATTAATTCTTTTGCTTTGGATGTGGTGTGCGGGCGGTTATCGTACGTGAATGGAATTTCTGGTGAAAGAAATAGATTATGTAAGTTGAACGGCTAATATTCGAGCCTTTCAGACGGAAGAGCGCACTTCAAGTGCATTAGGGGCTATAAGACGACAGACGCCCTTTTTTAAATAAGTCATCATTACAAGAGTTTTAGACGTCGGGTGTGCGGGGGTTGTTCGAAGATTTTACTGACTTTTATTTTGCTTATGAATTTTGATATTTTTGCCGATTTAACTGATCTTTGGCATTTCTTGTTCCATTGGAATTATCTAACTGCCAAAAGAGTCCACTTTATTATTATTTGTATTAACATTCTACAGTAACTTTAGGTCACAATAAAAGTTACATTTTATAGCTATTACAATGCAAAGCTAAATTGAATGGTCCAGTTGATTCTCTTTCTCGTTTCATTACACGGGACTTGTCATATTTTCTTGGAGGAGATGTTTAATTTAGAGTCAATCATCCTTCCCGGATTTTTTGCGCAAATGGATTTGTATTTTTGTGTTTTGTGATGTTTCTGATCTTCTCGTTTTACCGCTACGCGTGTATGGAGTTTGTTCTTGCTCAAGTAGAATACAAAACAATAGTGAATTCTTATTTAAACTAACGCTGGTTTAAATTTACATTAGGTAATGGAAGTGAACAGGACGTCAGACTGCGCGGAACCGTCAGAAATCAATTTTGCGTCTTCAGTGGATCCAAAGGAAAATGGAAAATTCAGGAATATTACAACACTAGAAGTAATTGATAAATGTAAGTGATGAGTATTATACTGTTTTCACACGGAACGACTGGAAGTTGATGAATTACATTTTAACATATGTTTCTCTAGGTTTAACTTCTTAACGCGATCTCGAAAATCTGGAATCAATTTCAACATCTATACATTGTGTGAAATTAAATAATTTTAAATTCTTATCTAATAGAGAATTTTCCAAACTTTCATAATCTTTTAATCCGTTTTGCCGCTAGCTCTATTCATTTTAAAGATAGTTATTTACCAACGATATTCAAAAAAATGACACGTACGGGTGTACAGTAAACTACAGGAATAATAAATTATTTATATACTTGTGGAAGAGTGATTTCTCTTTTTCTCAATCTTATGACATCCAAAGCCAATAGAATTCTTTTCTTATGCCGAAATATTGAGAGAGTAAGAAGTAGATTTCGGTGGCCCATGTCCAGTTATTTCAGCATTGTGAAATTTCAGTTTGGTCTTTTCAACTTCACGAGTTTTATCGAATTTACGTTTTAGTAGTATAAACAACTTTTTTGTTCGACTGGCGCGTATTACCGCTACGTACCAGCCCAATACCTGGCTTGGCAGAAGCGCGCACAGCAGTCGTTTCGAAAGCGCGTGGTCCCGCAGACGGTGTCTCTCTAATCGCCATGCGTTTTGGGGTTTTAATTGGATTAATCGTCGTGTACATCAGCAGTATTCACCAATGGGCGTAATGGCCTGTTCATTAAACAATCATTTGTGGCCTTTAGGTTCCTTAAATAAAGAATAGGAGTGTCCATTAATCTGTGCGTGTGTTTTCCAGTTTGCTAGAATATATTCAGGATATAAAATCCCTCATCAATGCATAGGTAGGTGTGTAAATTATTTTTTTTACGGAAATTTACGCCGGTTTAACTTAAATTGATTATTCTATTTGAGGTGATATGAAATTTACATGTCTCATCTTGGAATTACAAACACGTGGTTGCATTTTTATCAGAATTCTTAATCGCGTATCCAAAAATAACATGCTTGATTTAATTATTGCAAGCATTGTTTTTAAAAATTATCTCCGGATTATTAAAATGACAATATTCAAGTGGTCGACCACGCTCGCTTTACGCAAATCGGTAAATCGGCTCAGCCATCTTTCGCTGAACACGTGAATGTTCTTAATCGATTTGCACTCCTTGCTTTATCCATTAAATTAAAAAGTTTCTTGTTGACCTAGTACAATGTTGTATGTTGAATAGTTTTTCATTTTCATAGTCTCCGTACATCTTAATATTTGAATGTTTTCCGCCGGATATTCTATCGAATTTATTATGATGCTTCACTGCAAATCAGTTACTTTATGCAGTTGATGCATCAATTATTAAATATACATTCACAATATGTTAAAATGTAAGTGTTTTAATTTTGTAGCACCATTTTGCTCAATTGTCCGATGATTGTCGGGTAAAATCTCTGATTTTATATTAAAATATTATTGTGTATTTGTAAATTTCCCTTTTCATGTTGTGAATATTAATTCCCTTTATAGTTTCTAAAGGTTTCTTTTTGTAAGACCATGTATATTAGTTTTCCTAACACCACCTAGAAAATTGTCTTTATTTGTGAGTTCCGACTGTTCTTTGTTTTGAACTTGGGATTTTCTTTCTGGTACACCCTGTATATTCATTTTCCTTCGTGTCCGTGAAAGATTTGCTTCAACTGTTGTTTTTAAAATTTTCTTTTTTACACTTTGAATTTTCTTTCTGAAACACCCTGTATATTAGTTTCCCTGTTCGTCGAGTGAAAACGAGCGACGTTTGTAGTGTTTAGAGTTTTGTGTTTGCACCTTAAATTTTCCTTTCGGAACACCCTGTATATTTGTTTTATTTCCAATCACGTAGAAAATAGGCTAATTTCATTATCCCGGTCGAACTTTACAAAGTAGTACTTGCTTGCATGTGCGCGGCTAAACAAATCGTAAGACCTGCTTCACTATGGCGGCCCGTTTTCTGTTGACTATAAATAAAAATTAAAACTTAAAATTTAAACTTGTAATCTATTGTTAATAAATAAATAGTAAGATATATTCACTTCTTTGATTTGTGTACCCCTTCTATCATTGCAGGAACAGGTCTCTAAGAGAGTTCCCTCTCTCAGGGGATGATCCCCACTATAAAAATTGTTAAGGTAACCTGTATGATTTGTGTACTCCTTCTTTCATTTCAGCTACAGGTCAGAACTTGTAAAAATATTTCTTAGTGTCACCTCTCTTGGGACGACTTAAAACTTAGAAATATTTGAACAAGACCTTATATGGATTGTCCTTATAAGGAGTTCCCTCTCTCTGGGGGTGATCCCCCACCATAAAAATTGTTGATATGCCTAAGAATCCTGGGGATGAAGCGTAGAGGCATCGTAGCTGTAGGATGGGCCGGGAGCAATGGACGGATCGAAGCTTTGACTGTCTAACGACACGTGCCAAAAAATTTAAAAATCTCATCCACTCCTGTTCTCTTTCTTCTATCTCCTCCTCTTCTCTACTCCGGTCTTTTTTCCTTCTCTCTTCTACTCTTCTCTGCTATTCCTTCCTTCTTCTACTTCTCCAATTTCTTTGTTCTCCGTTTCTCCACTTACTTTTCTTACTTCTCATATATTCTTATAGCTTTCACTTGTATTTCAATTCCTCTTATATTTTATTTGAGTCTACATATGCAACCCAAATTTCACCTGTTATTTTTATATTTGAGAAAAATGCCTTCTATACCTGAGATTCGATCCGCGACTACTAGCATGCCAGCAGGTGCACGTCTCCACTCGACCACCGAGTGCTTTTATCATTGTTATTTGATTCTTCTATTTATGATTCTACTTTATTCAACTTTTTAAAAACAACAACACAACACAAACAACAGCTATATATTGAACATGCTCGACTCACTTAAGATTTATATGGAATGTGATTTAAGACATCAATCCTGCAAACGACAAAGGGGAAACCAGAAAGAAATATGAAGAAGTATATAATATTACATTATGTTCTATTAGCAACATTAAAAACTCCATACATTTATTTAAAATCGGAAATCATAGACAGCTCTTAAATATCCTGAAAGTAAAACTTGCCTTGTAATACGCACATCTTTAACATTTCTGCGACGGAAGCGGTCGACTCCTTGGCACAAGTGCTCCTAAACTTCTTCTACAGGCACCAACATAAATAAACACACAACACAAAGTGCAAGCAAACACTAAAATACAAACAACTATAATACAATACAAAACATTTACATATAAAAACGAATTCTAGGTGGACAGTACAACAAACATGTATGTACATATTAATACATAAGACAATACAGCAAAGTCATATACACAATAAAATGAGTTCTCAAGTTCTACATATACAATTACATAACATAAACAGTAATCAAGGAAATGTGCTCAAGAGGATGACACGCACAAAACAAATCTAGAATTAAATTAAATAAAGTGAAGTTTTACTTGATATTACGTACTTCTTTGTTCTTTCGTCCATAAAGAGCTAAAGTGCAAAAACACGATTTCGCAAATTGTAAATAGAATTGATGATATGCACTTCTTTACTATTCCACGCGAATGTTTAATTCACGTTACACAAATAAATTTAAAATCGACTCCAGTAAGTATCTATATGCACCGAAACATATCCGATGGACACCACGCGCGCACCGTGAAGAATTACTAATGATCAAAACACGTGCGCACCACGCGGCAGTGCACAGCCGACCAAGTCGGACTGCAGGAAAAAGAATTGACAAGCAACCCGCAATTGGAGGGGCAACCTTCTCTCTTCATACGGCAAAAATACGATAACAAATATATCGCAACACAATTTAACAATTCAAGACAAAATTTATTTTGAAGAAAAGTCTTTAATAAACGTATTGAAGTAAAATACCACTTTTATTTAATTGCTTCCCCTTGTATTAAACCCAAATGTATTCAGTGGAATCCCGGTAATCCGGACCCGGCTTGATCCGGCACACCTTGTAATCAGACATGGTCATATGCCATGTTTGTACTTTAGGATTTGTAATTTGTCGAATTACAAGGTACTTTTTTGTAAAAAATTCCGGACTGTAAGGGGTCTTAGGCACTTTTCCATAATCCGACAAATTCGCTCATCCGACACTGTCCTGCAAAGTGATTGTCGGATTACCGGGATTCCACTGTATATGAAAATTGTAAAAAATCAATACTTACAATGACAGAATGGTTGTAGTTTCGTTTGCCCGCTAGACACCTAAAACAACCGAAAACAACAATTAGCACATCGAAGCACAAAAATAACATTTTTGCAGGTTTACCGTGTGCTAGTCACACAAATTAATTTTGAAAAGGATAAACAAATTCATTAATTTCAATCTGATAAAAGAATCGTTGTCCTACAACATTTCTTTCGTCCCCTAGAACGACACGCCGCAAAAAAAATTAAAAATCCGAGCCACTCCTGGCTGTTGTACATAAAATACATATACTGTTCAATATTCGCATTTAATATTACTTCAAATTATTATAAAAACAATAAGATTGTATCTGTAACATTTGAAAAAGTTGAATAAAAGTAAATTTTTACTTGATGTTCCTTTCTTCTGAAGTTAAGTTAGCAGAATAACATATTACAGTTGATTGACAAACCTATCAGGTTGTGACAAATATCCTTTAATATTAACAGTAGCACATCAACTCATAACATCTTATGCTGCTATTTAACTCAATTAAATTGAAAGCTAACATCTTGGCAAGTGACTGCAGGAATCAAAAAATTTAAAATTTACAAGATTCGACTTGCTTGATACACTTAATTAGTCCAAGTGTATATTAAGTGTATATATAGTAATATATATATATATATATATAAGTATAGGTCTATATATATCAGTCTTTTTCAGTCTTGCGGGCATCGCGAATCACAAAATGAACCGATTTTGAAGCTAGTTTCAGATCCTTGTGGTCATGCCAATAAGTTAAACTAGAAAGACATTTTACAATTTACAAATGACTACTCTATCCATGAAAATCCCATTACAATATTTGAAAAGCTAAAAATTACACTTACATTTTAGAGTAAGTGGGAGAATCTTTCTTCAATCTTGTTCAACTACTACTGACTTTCCATGTCGGAGCAATTAATGCAATACAATGGGTCTGAATAAGCTTCTTGTTGGTTTTTATACTGCTGTATTGATCTTCTGACGAACCCGTGCGCTGAGACAGAGCATATGCACAAGCACCTGATGTGAAAACAAATCAGCATTAGGATAATGTAGAATAAGTGACTAGGTACATACCTCATTTATTATAACTGAGTTAATGAAGTACTAAGTAGTAATCGTGCCACCGTGACGTGATGGATGTTGAATGTTCAATCAAGCGCCAGCGTATCTGTGATGATGATGATGAATTTGAGGCGCACGTTATACAAAAGACTAAGTCCAGAACCATGTCTACGCTGAAGCTGAACATCGCAGCACGTGCTGTACTACATGTATCTCAAGCGAATGCTAGCAGAACGCAGTTGACCTGTTGACAGTGTTGACAACAGACTCTGAAAAGGACTCGCCAAGCGCCACCTGGTTGCAGAGTATCTAATTCGAATAAAACATACAATATCATAATGATGGCGCTAGTAGGTCTATATGAAACTGTTCTTATTAAAAGGAATTTCTGATGCACATTATATCATCGCTAATTGCATTCTTGGATAGCAACATGAGGGAATTCAATGTATTATATATTAAGTAATAAAAATATGTTGGAGTTAAATTTTCAGGTACTGTATTGCACTATCTAACTATGAAGATAATGCACATTCACGTACATATTTTTATAATACAATTTCTCTTTTCAGTAATCGTAATAATAATGATGCTCAATAAAAAATATATGTACAAATGATGATAAGAAGTGTTAAGTTTACAATGATAAAATAGTAGTCAATATAAAAAAGTATTGGTAGTTACGGTAACCACATTTCGTTTTCAAATTTTTGCATTGTCGATGCATTGGCCGATTTCCGACACGGGTTCATCATTTCATTTGCGTACAACATTTCGATAGCATTCACAACCTAATTGCTCGCAACTGTGTGCCAATGCCGCAGCATTCTGTACGTTCGAAACAATTTGTTCAACTTGTTTAACAATAAATTACAAATCAATGCGTTCGATTCCCACAAATCAATATCAAATATTAGATTACAGTATAATACAATGATGATTAACGCAAATATGAAACAAAATGATTTTCACTTACAAAAAAAACTAGAAGATATTTTTTATTTTTCGCTTAATTGATTTTGCCATTGCGGTGTGATGTCGCAATATCGATTTTAAAATGTATAATAAATAGTTTCATTTCATTCAAGATTTCTGCATGTACGTTAATTTTAAATTCCGTTTTCCGGTTCATGTATAAACTGTGACTTTCCGCTTAAGTAACACACTCGTATCTGGGCGCGATAAAATTGGTTTTGTTCGCGCGTTATTTTGCTGCAGATCCCAACCAGCAAAAAAAGAACTGGTCGCTGCTTCAATTATGCCTTTAAAATCTAATTTGAATAAATATACATATTATTACTATGTATACAATATTGAATGTAATGTATGTATAATAGGCAGGGGATTTTTATGCAAACACGCTCGCATTCCGCCAAGCACAAAACAGCGCGAACTGATCGCCGTGAAAACACGTCGAATAATCGCAGACAGAAGGAAGAGACATGTCACAAATCGACATGTCATCGTTTCTGATCAGGTGTGATAAAATATAGTTCGCGTATGTTCTGTATGTTGGCGGTGCGCGTTTACACAGTATTTGGACACGACACACATAATAAGCACTTGGGAATTTGTCTACTTAGAATCTAAAAGCAATCTTCAAAAAATAACAGGAGAAATAATTAGTCAACCAAGCCATGAATAAGCAGCAAACATAAAAGAAAATTAAATACTACTGATAACAAGATCGTAAGAAACGCTAGCTACAAAACAAGATTCTATAAGCAAACTTCTAATCAAAAATACCCGTCTTTTGTTATAAGAACTTTTGTGTTGAAATAAATCGTTTTTTTGCAACGCGTTTTGTAATAGGTACTTTTTTTTATCAAAAATCTTTTTATCAAAAATTGTTTACTTTTTGTCTTCAAAAATATATATTATACGATTTACGGTTAAATATTATTGTGTAATTTCTGCTCTACGCTTTTACTAGGTGACACACAGCATATGTTTGGGAGGAAGTGTTCATACCGGAGGGTAGTTATAAATGTGATGTTGATATGCCGAAAAAGTATACAATTATTTGTCCAGCCACAATATGCTTGCTCTCTAAAGAGTAATCATCGTGAGCCAATCGGGTAAAGTGTAGCTCTAATCACATTCATAGCATTTTTTGATAAAATTCTGCTATATTCCAGGTAATATTTTATCCAAAAAAATCATGCGATCTTGCATACGATGTAGAGCGTAACATTCCCGAGATGGTTCCGATATCAATTTAAAGCCACAACAATGATCGCACACAGAGAGTTTGAAAAGTCGGAATTTCAAAATTGATTTTACGTTAAAAATTCTACGTTTTCATTCCCATTCTCAGTTTACTAACAAAGCGGTTTATATTCACACTACTTTAAGCAATATGTATAAATATTTACATATACACCTCGCCACCATGTGTGTTGGGTATTTGAATTTGGGAAATAAGCAATTATGCCTTGTTCAATTTAAGCACTCGTTTATACTTGGTTTGGTTGCAATTTTGTATGTGCCTTTCTAGTTTTGTTTTGTTACAATGTATTCATTGTAAATGTTGCGTGTATTGCATTCAATATATTCATGATTAGATTTCTCAAACAAAAACATAAAAATTAAGATATTAAAAACAAAAATTTCCACTCTTTTCACGTAGAGTGTGTTGCATTATATCACAGACCTTTTGTTTTTTATAATCATTTCCTATTTAATTAGCGTACGTACTGTATTTATTAATGTTTGATTTCCTCGGCGCGAATAATAATTGTCGTGCTCTTCAGTATGAGCTTGGACGATGCAGACATTATTGTTAAGGAAACCAAATAAAATTGCAAAGTCAAATAATTGCAAACGATTAATTGTCGTCCGATGAAATTGACAGTTGTTTTATCGGAATTAGTGTTGTTTTTATTTCGCACTTAGTCTTGCGTCTTTTGGTATAACGCAACTCCGTTGTTTTGATTTGCATGACGTACTTGTCTTCCTCATTTGCATTCGTATGCATTGCATGGTACTTAATACGTACTTACTTAAATGTCGTTAAGTAATCTTTATTATAAATTATACAATGCAGCTTTTAATTATTTAAATTGAACAAATCTATTGGAGCGTGTCTATTTCGTGTGCCGTCGTTCTGAGAACACACCATTTACTTCTTTTAATTCGTTTTTGTTAATACACGTTTTCAATTTATTTATTTATATAATTAACTAACATATCACAAAAAAGTTCCCTATGTTATAACGTTAAATGTAATTATTTGTTAAATATTTTCTTCTCTCATTTGTGTTTTTTCTAATTATTTGGGCACCTAGAATTGAATAGCACAGAACATTCGCGACGCTACGTTTCCAATGACGCGATTAGACTATGATAAACGTTGTTCTGCATTTCGCTAAACATCGACGCTTGTCCGCACGTGAACGAGTTGGCGCTCGTCGGCGCCACGGGGCTGCCGACGCAACTACCCTCAGGCAGATTGTTATTGATGAACTGCATTTGCATTTGGATGGGATTCATTCTACTACAACTATCACTAGAATTGTCCGTAAAGTCGACGCCCGTCGACGCCTTGAAGCGTTTCGCTGGCGGCTCCTCGCTGACGACCGCCGTTGGCAAGTCATCATCGTCGTCGATGGTCGTCAACATACGTGGCGTCGGCGGCATGTAGAACTGAGAGAGCACGTCCTGGAAGTCGCAGCTCTCAATATCGTCGTAGGCGCGCTTCGTATTGGCGTTAGCGTCGCAATGCTGCTCCGGCAAAAGCGTGGGATGTGTCGTCGTTGTACTTGTCGTCACGATGTCCGTATCATCCAGCACACTCTTGACACTCTCACTGATCTCATCCCTTTGCATCTTATCATAATCGTCCGTGGGTACCTCGACCATCGGGATGTCGTCGTAGGACTTGAGCTCGTTCTTGATGAATTCACTTTTAATGTTCAGAAAATTGTCACTAGTATCGATACACGTTGGATAATTCAACTTTTGTTTCTGCAATTTCTCCTCACGCACTTCCAGTTGCAATCGCTTCATGGTGTTATTAATTAACACCGAGCGACACAGACTCACTTCTGGATCGTCGATTTTTTTCAACTTACTACAGCTGATTTTAAGAACTTTGCGTCGTTCTTCCTTTTGGCGATATTTTGCCGATATCATTGATGGACGATTTTTCGGTTGGCAATACCCGGTGGCATATGTACGGGGTGGTCCAAAAATGTCATCACCGTCGTCGATGATTGCCGGCGGCGACTTCATATCGAATTCAATTTGATCCAGCTGAAACAAACAAAAATGCACAATGAATTTAAACTCGCCTGTCAGCTTTGATCCGCCTTGTTTCATTAAATGTAAGGCTAGAAAAATTGCGCACCTAGTAGGATCATATTTTTCATTTGATTTGTTTTGACAACAGTAACATATTATTCCGCTCATATTTATGCTTCCTGTAAATTTACCGCGTAACGGCTGCACGAACAGCGAAGTTCAATGACGAAATTGCGATGTCAATGACGAAACGAGTTTCGAACAAAATACGCATTAAATCGCACGAGAAGGCGACGTAAACACGATGCCGATCAGCATATGCTATTTTATAAGAGCGAACGCTCACAGGGCATCAAGGCTCTCGCGACCCAAGGCATCATCGCCAAAGCCCGGCCCCGGCAAAAGCGAATGTGTTACGAGGTCGAATCATCCAACAAACACTTTTATTTATTGTTATTATTATAACTATCATCGGCGTCGGAACATTTTCGAATGTTTTACACGCATTATAAAAAAAAACGACTCGCAAAAAACATCAAGGTGTTCAGTCCTTCGAATTCAGTTACTAAATTGCGACGCATAAATTATGTTTTTATCCTACGAAAATAGAAAAAAATCATTTTGTCTTGCATAACTCTAGTCTAAATGCATGATATCTGGTCATAAATTTAGATTTTGTTGCAAATTATTATAACGTCTTGTTTAATATCGCGAGCATAAAGATTGGTTACGCCAACCGACGGCATGACCGAAAAAAGCGCTGCGAAGGAGGACGCGAAGAGATTCGGGAAAATGATTACGGTAATAGGCAGGCTGGCAGGCCGGCGCGATTTCGTAATAGGCGTGTAGAAGCCAAAGCATTTTGTGCGCCGTGGTACCGCTGATATACATACATGCAGCATACACGCGTATGCCGCGACACGCTTCTTTGTCGACACGGTTTGTATGCGCACTCGGCAGTTCTCTCCTATCGCATTTGTGTGCTAGGCTTCTCTTCCAAGGGTGAAAGTCAAAGTGAAAGTGTGCGCGCTAAGCGTGCCCGAGCTGCACGGTACGCGCGGGCTCCTCGATGGCCTGCTGGAAAGAGAATGCCTGTCTGTATGAAGGAATCGGCGGTGCGAATCGATTCCGGAATATGCACGATTTTTCTTTGTCTCGTATTTTTACGCACAAAAATCACATTCATCAAACACACGCAACGCGATGACGCTCAATTATCTGCCAACTGTCAACACAATACAAACAAGACAAAGTATTCAACCACAATTTTCTGAGTAGGTACACAGTAATTGTAAAGTTAATGTTTTCACACCAGCCAATAATTAAATGTCTTCAGAAGATGGAACCTTTTGCAACGTCTTGGAAATTTAGTGCACGCTAGCAGACATTTCCGCAAATAACAATAAAAGACTAGCATAACGTGCACCTCAACAACGGATATGGAAGTGTGTCCATGTGTGTTCTACATAAGACCGCAATCGCCAGAAGCAAAGCAGGCCATCTCGTGCGAGTGTCGTCTTCTCCGATAAAGAAAGAAGCGCGCAAACATGAAACGGAATGAAATGGTAAAGCGCAAAACGTATAATATACGCGAATGTTGCACATCGCATGCTCCTTTGGTGCTTTTGTTGGTTGTTGTTATTGAGGTAGATATAAAATACGTTTTCAGTTTGCAAACGCGCGCCTGTACAGTTACCATTCGGCGCGGCGGCATTCCGAATGCAAGACACACTACACGCTGCCCAACACACACGCAGAGGCGAATAGAGGAACAGAAAATAACGCAAACGTAGCACTAGCGCAATGCCGGCATGCGGAGTACACGAATATGAATGCTCCTCTGCAGTAATGCCCTGCGAAGCGGCCAGCAGGACGAGCAACGAAATGCTTTACTGGAAGCCCGATGCAGTAATAGTGCAATGTGCAGCGTGCGACTTGGATGTGCGCTAAGCGATCCGACCACCACAACCGACATTGGATCCATCGGCAGACATGAATTGTTGAAAAACGGAAAACACGCTGGCGCTGCCATCCAGTCGAGGATTGCGGCGCGCAAATGATGAAATGAGCAAACGGACCAATAAATGAATGACTGACTAAAGAAGCCAAAGATGTGCTGCGCGAAAAAGTAAGAATGAAGCGCGGAATGAAGAATGAAGAGTGAAACGAGTAAGTGAGCGAAGAGCGAGCGACGAGAGCCGCATTGTAACGCAAAAAGAAAGTTGAACGAACGAGCGCGGTGTGCGCGCTGCGTCGCAGGACGAGACGGCCGCGAGAAAAGGACAGCGCGGAAAGAATGGAAACATTTTACGCTTTTCGTATCACGGAAAATTGGATTTGTAACGTAACATAACGTTAGCGTTCGGCGTTAAAAACGAAAAAAGACGTGGAATAAAAATAAAAAGCGAACAAGGCGCAAAATAAAATAACCCAACGACGCCCGGACGCATCAAGCACCAGCGGCACCGCGCGAAAAAACAGCGAAATCAAAACGGCAAACAGCAAATTGCAGCACAAGAGAGAGTGCAAAGTGTTTTAAAAACAGACGCTGCTTCTTTTTTAATCAAGAGCGATTATTATTATCGTTACCTGATTAATATCTCGAATGTACCGACTTTACGATCGCATTTATGATGTATTAAGAACACCAAACACGACGTTAACGATTAATAAACACTCGCGCTTGTCGAGTCGAAGCGTGTGTTCATCAACAAAGAAAAGCCCGAAATAAAAACGTGCGTGACAAACAATAAGTCACGTATGCCATCTATAATACAATCATAATTAACTTCATTACGAACACCGAACACCAACGTCATCATCATGGACACTTGTGCTTTGTGCTTGGTGTTTTACTGTTTCCCATGTTTCTCGCGCGTTTTCGTGAGAAGCGTGCTCTCATTTCATGCGGCCTTCTTCGACGCTCTCCCGCAATGTAATAACTTCCACGTAATTTCGATGTGCGATCAGCCAGCGACGAATCGTGATTAATGGCCAATTAGATGGAAAACCGGAATTTTCCGCGAAAGTCCCCGTGGTGAAATTTCGAGCAAAATGCGCACATTATGAAATTTAAAGTATTCAGGCTTCCTAACATTTTTTTAAGCGAGACGTGCAAGATTCAAATGAAATTAAATATGCCGTTATGTCGGCTTGTGTCGTCGCAGGTTTTGAAACTGCCAACAGAGCTTGGAAATACAGTAATACATGGCATGAGTTAAATGCACGAAGAATCCGTTCGTTAGTCGTTTTGTAAGTACGCTCTAGTAACCATCTAAGTCGAAAGTTGATTACGATTACAATAAGAGCCCGTCAGTGCTCGGTGCAGCAACATACACACACTCTGCGCATAAACAACAAAAACTATTTATTTCATTTCGTTTCTCAACTAAGAGAACAAATAAATATTAAAATACCACGCGATGTTTGCTCATGGGCAGCCGACGAGTGAACTCTAATAAATAAAAATATATTTATGAGTTCATCTACCGTTTAGAACGAGCAACATTTTTTGTTTTTCTAAAAGTGATTTTCGTGTTTCACAGTTCGGAAAGTTCTCAGCAGTAACAAGTAGCAAGTTTCAAATGTGGGGTCGTATGCATTTGCCGCTCATCGCGTTTCTTTTTTGCGGCGCGTACACACACCCACACAAATTTCGCCCTGGTGAGAGCGATAAGATAAATAAGCGTCGAGACGGCCGTGCGTCGCGGCGCGCTCGCTCTCACAACGTCGTCGACGACGGTGTCGACGTCTAGCCGTCCAATATCGATTTCCATATGGTATGAGCGAATAGCGCACAGGAGTATGGGGCGGCATACTCTCTTTCAGTGCATGCATACAAGTCCACTTGTCTACTTCAAAACTCTCTCGGCTCAAACGCTCACACATCTAAACGGCCGGCAATTGAATGCGCGCCCGCGCCGCGACGCCGTACGCGTACAACGTAAACATGCATCGCGTTAAAAGAACGCGCAAAACGAAACGGGAAAAGAAACGCAAAGAATTGAATAGAATTTATTCGGCTTATGTGCGCATCAAACAATGCTCAGCGCCGCTTTGAAGGTGGATTTCAACTGCCTACGAGAGTACGCACACTTTCGTGCTTTTTGTTTTCGTTCGACACCTTTTCCTTTTCGCCGTGCGATGCCGATGCGCGGAATTTGCATTATGCAACGCGAAATTCGAACGCGCGAATGCTCGTGAAGATAAAAGCGTTCAATAAGCGCGCTCAACAATGAAAAGAATTAATTTCGTTCGATTTCGAAACGCGATTGCCTCGGATGCAATAAGCAATAATGCGTAACCAAACGCGAGCGTTAAAATTCAACGGCGAATTAATACGCTAATACGCTGGCCATTGTGGCAAACGCTAACATAATAGATATATTCGTGCGTGTTTTCACTCGTGTAATGTGTGCAACGCAAGTTCGGGGCCCGACGACAAACGGCGTCGTCGACCCACTAACCCAATTATGACGTCAGAATTATACGAAAAAAACTATTACACTATAGCCCGGTGTATGCATTAGTGAAGTTACTAAATCGCGCAGTTTGACAAATAACATCTAGATAATTATCGGCAATTAGTTAGCTGCAAACACTGCGCAATGCGAATATAAACAATGACTATTTGTGCTTCCGTATAAAGTTCTAGAATTGCCAAACATAAACTAACAAATATAGGATTTTCCAAACATATTACCAACTGTGTAAAATCTATATAATGAAATGCATAATTACTAATGGAAAAGTTCCGATTGGGATAGATTACGTGCTACCGCTGTAACCTTCAGAATAAACCGTGTGTGCAGATTGGCACACTTCAAATTGACGTAATACAAGAATGTGTCAAAGTACCGCGCGTTAAACATTCCAATCTGATGAATCTGATGATTGTACTAAAAACGATCAAAAAGGATCTGCAGCCGTTAGCAAAACGAAGTAAAAAAAATCAAGCATAATGAAATCTAAATGAGTTTCAGTTATCTCAATGCGCGCGCGACTGTATTGTT